CCCCCAGCCGCAGAGAGGAGGAGACCACCACCTGGGGAGGGGGGCAGGCTGAGCCAGCGGCCTCGCCCAGAGGGGCCGTCCCTCCTCCACACCCTGCACAATCTTCTCCTGATGGATGGGGGGATGGGCAGGTGGGTCAGTGGGGGGGGATGGTTGATGGGGTGATGGGTGGGTGGTGGGTGATGGCCAAGTGGGCAGATAGGTGGTGGGTGGGTGGGTGGATGGAAGAACCAATCCACCAGCTAACAGTCCCAGGTAGAATACTGGGGAAAAGTGGTCCCAGCTCCTCATCTGTATCGATTATGGTGGCAACTGCAGCAGGCACAGTGCTGAGAGGTCCTGCACTGCGTCTCTCTTGATCTCACAATCACCCTATGTGCTAGAACCTACCACTTCTTCCATCCCTCACGTGAAACACCAAGGCTCAGCGAGCAGACGTGCCCGCCCAGTCAGTCAGTGGCCAGCAGCAGAGCCACCACACTGGTGTCCGGCTGCCTTGCTTACGCCCCTGCAGTCTGGGGACTCCATCCTCCCTCCTCCCCTCCACCTCCTCTGGGTCCCCAGGGCAGACGCACCCTGGGCAGGTGGCAGAGCCCCAGGTGGAGGGAATGGCGCAACCAGTGTGCATAGTCGGTCTCCACTTCTGCCCAGAAGCTCTGCTGGGCACAGGAGCCCATGACATGCTCCAGTGTGGCCTCCACAAGGACCTTGTCTGGCCGGGATGGCCAATGCCTCTGGAACAAGAGGGCACCGTGGGGTGGGGGCTTGTCACATAGGAGAGAATGTCCATGGCCAGTTGCAGACCTTCACCCATATGGAAGCAGGTGCCAGAAATCCCCCCCATCAGCACTCTGGGGCAGGATTTCTGTTGTGAGCACCAAGGGGGCTGGGCCTAAGGGTCCCAGGAACCCAGGGTGGGGGACCCAGGAGGAGGATGGGGGCTTTCAGGGCCAGCTGTCCGTTTCTCCTGTGTCTGGTTCCTGCCCAGGCTCTGCAGAATGGTGCTGGGTCCTGTCAGGAGCCCCAGTGGGTGGGGATGCTGGGGGACACCCCGTCCTGACACCTCCAGGAACCTAAGCTTGCAAATCCTCCCCCACCCCCTTAAGAAGCCTCCCCACTGCTCCCCAGCATCCTGAGCCCAGTGCCCTGCTCTCCCCACCCCCCACAGTCCTCACTACAGTCCATTAGGGAAGGACTCTTGCACTCATTTTACAGATGGAAAAACCAAGGCCCACAGCAGAGAAATGAGTTGCCCGGGATCCCCCAGCTCAGCTAGCACTCGAACCCAGGACTGCATGGCTCCCGAGTCAGGCACCTTCCGCAGCAGGCAGGGCCGCCTGTGGGTAACCCACCAGGACCTGGCTCCTCCGGCCTCACCTCAACCATCAGGTTCTGCTGCATGTGGCGTTGGTCCCAGTACAGGTCGAGCCGCTCACTGAACGCTGCTGGGGTCTGCGTTAAGGCCCCACAGGCCTGGAGGGTGCCCTGGCCCCAGGTTTCCTGGAGCTGATGGGAAGAGAATGGGGTGTATGACATGGGAGCCAGCACAGCCACCTGGAGGAAGTGGGGCCGACCCGGCGGTCCAGCCTGTGCGTACCTGCCCCGCAGCGGCGGCAAGGCAGCCGTCCCAGGCAGTGCTGCGTGCCGAGGACCTGTCGGCCCAAGTGAGCTGCAGGGTCACGGGTTGTCCTCTGTTCCAGGTGAGCTGTACCTGCATTGAGATGGGGGCAGTAGCGGTGAGGAGGAGAGAGGTGGGAGAGAGGAGAGACTAATGCCCCCATCTCTGTGGGAGATGAGAGGCTGGGAGGATGGAGATGCTGGTGCCCCCTCCCCATCCATCGCTGTAGAGGAACTGCGGTGGAGGAATGGGGAGACGCGCCACGCCCACACTGAGAGACCAGAAGCCTTTGAATGAAAAAGCACCTCAACACCCATGAAATCGAGCTCCTTGCTAGGGCGTCCAGGGCCCTGCATGGCCTCCGCTGCTCCCTGTCCCCACGCCCCACTCTCACCGGCCTTCCAGCACTTGCTGGAGCTCCCAGCTCATCCCACCACAGGGCCTTGCCACACCTCCCACCGCAATGCCGCCCGTTCCTCCAGCGTCTCAGGAGGCCGGCTCCCTCTCATCGCTGGGTCCTCACCTGACAAGCCACCTCCCCCAGGAGGCCCTCACTGAGCACCCCATCTGAAGTAGCAGCCTCCCACCCCCCAATTATTCTCAATCTCAGCATCCTCTACTTGCATCATGGAGCTTCTCACAACTTCTGGTTTTTTATTCATTCGTTCGTTTCAGTTTTGGAGAGAGATCTTCGCCTCCTGCCTGGCACACGGCTGGTTCACTATCTTCCATTTCATAAGCCGCTCAAGGCCACCCCGCTAGACGGAAAGTCCAGCTGCCTGGCTCACCCCCTGCAGTTACCGACTAAACAAACGATCGTGTACATGATGGACAGGAGAGGCTTGTGAACTCTGTTTCCCCCATTAGAAAGTGAGCTCCAGATGCAGGGACTGTGCCTGTGCCTCGAACACCGCCTGGCATACAGTAGGTGCTTAATAAGGTACTGATGAACAAACGACTGGATGAAGGACCCGCAAGGTCCCCAGGCTTCAGGAACCTGTGATTCTGGAGAAGTCCTTGTTGTGGATGAACAGGGTCTACTCCCCCCAGCCCAAGGGACTCAGCCACGCAGCTCCTCACCCCCCACCCCACCAAGGCACCTCAGACGCTCACCTGCCGGCTCTGCCTGCCACCCCTGCTCTCAGCAAGGCCACTGGCCTCTGCATGCCACCAGGAGAGGTTGAAGGGATGAGCCAGGGCCAGGCGGGCGGCCAGCTCACCCTTCCCCAGCCGCAGAGAGGAGGAGACCACCACCTGGGGAGGGGGGCAGGCTGAGCCAGCGGCCTCGCCCAGAGGGGCCGTCCCTCCTCCACACCCTGCACAATCTTCTCCTTCAAGGTCAAGGGTGTGAGGGCAGGTGGCTCTGAGCACAAAATCTCAGCACCATGAGAGGCCCTCAGAGAGCTTTAGCCCATTTCACAGAAAAGGAAATCAAGGCTTGGAGAGAAGCAAAGGAAACAAGCATGTGACAGAGATGGGACCCAAGGTGGTACATGTGTTGGCTGAAGACAGAGATGCTGGAGCCACTCATGGGTTTGAGCCCCAGCCCTGTCTTCCACTAGCTCTGTGACCCTGGGCAAGTCACTGCCCCTCTCTGTGCTTCCCTTCCATCACCTGGAAATGGGGCTGGTCATCACCCCAAGCAGATACAGACGTTGATGTGAGGACTCCACACGGCATCTGGCTGTGACGGTGTCCGCTACGTGTTAGCTACTATTATTACTGTGCTCGTCAAGGTGTTGGTGGAACCCAGGTCTCTGGCCCCCTCCCCTGTGCCTTTCCCACGGTCCCCTGGGGACCTGGTGCAGCAGGGATGGGCCCAGGTAACGCTCCCCAGGCAGGACAGAGCCTGAGGGTCCCACTCAGACTGCAGGGAGAGCTCAGCTCTGCCTGTTCCCAGGGTCTCCTTCCAGCCCCAACACCTACCTGGTCCCTGCCATTCCAGCCAACAACCAGGTCGTCCCGGTGGCTGCCTCCCGAATGCTCCAAGGACAGGCCGAGGCTGCAGCGCCGTGGCAGGGAGAGGGGCAGCAGGTGGGTGAGCTCCACTGGGTGGGGGAGGGGCACACAGAGGGGGGGTACGTGAGCTAAGCTCATTGGCTCCAGACCAAGGGGGCTCGGGGGACTCTCAGCTGATGCCACTACCAACTCGGGCAGTGGCCACATACCCAGGTAACAGTCACAAAATTCAGAAGCTACGTGCTCACCTAGTCACCAGCCACTCAATATACTTCCCCGACTGTCCCTGGGGGAGCCCCACGTCTCCACGCCCCTCGGCTTCAGCAAGACCCTGCAGCTCCTCTGACAAAAGGTAGCCCTGTCTCCCCAGCCCTTGAACCTGGCCTGGCCTCGCGCTGTGCTAATAGAATTCAGCAAAGGTGACTGAGTGCCCAACCGAAGCCTAGGCCTTAAGCTTCCACTTTCTCTCTTGGACCCCTACCCTGCCACTTTAAGATCAATCCCACACTGGCCTGCTGCATGGTGACACGTCTGGAGAGTGTGGTTGTTTCAGTCAAGGCCATCCAAGGTCAGCCGACAGCCAGCTAGCCCCAAACCAGAGAGCCCAGCCAAGACCAGCAGAGACCCCCGCCCAGCCTGTGCCAAACTTGATGCGTGAGCAGGACCAGAGAGGCCACCCCACAGCCTCACGGACCGTGGTAAATAAACGCTGTGGGCCTTGGGACTGAGCTGCTGAGCTTTGGGATGGCTTGTTACCTAGCAGTAGCTGACATGCAGCCCTGACACCCAGACACTCCCCATCAGAAGCCCCCCCACCCACCCCGCTGCCAAGCTGTGCCACAGTCAGCTGTCCTGTATGTCCATCTTGGAATGTGATGTAGGCTGTGCCCCAGAGCTGAGGCCTTACAGCAGAGTCTCTATATCCCACACTTTCCTCCCTCATCCTCAGGTCGAGCCCAGGGACCCTGGCCTCCCACGTCACTTGACCCCATCTCGTGAGGTGGCCAGTTGGTTCTGCTTCCCCAGAGCAGAAATCTACCCAAGGCCCCATTGCAGGCGGGTGGTGGTGACTTTGTCAATCGGCTGTCTGGGAGAGGTGACTACCTGTCTGCAGACAGGCCCAGGGAGCCATGCCCAGAGACCTGGCACTGGCTGATCCTCGAGACCTCACCTGGCCATCAGTTCAGGGACCGCTGATCACACTTTTGCCTCCACATGCAGAGCTGGGTTCCTGATCCCTCTACCCTCTGACCCGATAACTGAGCACTCTGTAACTACAGTGCAGGTCTGAGGCTGCTCAGTTCACCAAGGGCAGTACACACACACACATGCAAACGTGCGCACATACAGCACACACACATACATGCATACACACGTGAACACAGCACACACATGCATACAGCACCCACACATTCACACACATACAGTGCACACACAGTACACACCAGATACATTCACACTGCGTGCACACGCATCTGTGCACATGCACACACACAATACACACGTGCATGCACACGTACATGCGCTGCCGTGGCTGGCTGAGGACCTACTTACTTACTTTCTCTGCCTCCCAGGGCACACACGTGGCTAATGTGACTCTGGGGAGGATTCCATCAGGCCACCCAGCAAGCTGTGTCCCCAGGCGGGGGTCTGCACTCTGTCTCCCCACTTGTGGGTCAGCAGGTCAGGCTCTGCTCTGTGCTAAGAGGGGCTCCTCACCCAGAACCTGACAGCCTGCGGTTGCACAGGCCATAATTTACAGCCCATTCCAGGAGCACCAGTCTCCTGGAGGACAGTGGGGCTCATGCTGCCATGGTGGGGCAGCTGGGGGAAGACCCACGGGACAGCACTAGCCTTCCCTGCCAACCTTCAGCCGCCAGCCCCAGCACCAAACACCCCCCAACCCGGGCACGCTCAAGGGTGCCGTGCCTCTCACACCCTGGCCCCTTCTGTCTTTTCACATTTGGGATAACACCAACTCCTCTTTGGGAGCTGAGACCCTGTGTACCCTGGGCCCCCAACCTCTTCCCCGTCCTGTGCTGCCCCCTGCCCCTCCCTCCTCTACACTCCGGCTACACTGGCCTCTCTGCTGTTGGCCCAACACACCAAGCTTACTTCCACCCCAGGACCTTTGCACCTGCTGTTCCTTCTACCTGCAGTGCCTCTCCCCAGATCCTCACCTTGGCCAGCTCCTCCTTGTCATTCAGATTGCGGCTTGAACGTCACCCCCTCAGAGAGATCTTCCCAGAGCAGCCCACCTAAAGGAGTCCCGCACCCCCATGGCAAAGCCTTTTGCTCTCCCACCCCTTCTTGATGTTATTTTATTCATGCATCTTTCCTTGCTCACTGCCTGTCTCCCCAAGGACAGGGACCTGGGCCAGCCTGTTTTCCGATGGATCCCTGGTGCCTGGAACAGCACCTGGGATAAGCAGACACTCAGTGATGGTTTGTCAAGTGAGTGAATGGGCCGCCCCTGCCAGCAGCCTCTAGACTCTCACCCTGCAGGCTGAGGTTCCCGGTGGGCTTGGGGAAGGGCCCAGAGAGGCTCCCGTTGAGGGCCACCTCCTGGCCGTCCCACAGTATCGTCTGGCGCAGGACACGGGTCCCACGGGCTCGCTCGTACATGGTCTGCAGGACCAGCTCCTGGGGAAGGGCGCTGAGCTAGAAGAGAATGATGGAGCTGCGGTCACTGGGAAACCCGACCCACACTCTGCTTGGGGTGGGAGAAGAGAGAAGCTCTCAGAAGAGGAAAAAGGGAACATTTGTGGATCATTTACAGTTGACTGGGTTGCTCTATACAACAGAGGGTCGAAAAGCCAAATGCTTCCTAAGGCTGAGGAGATAATATAAAGGGGGTAGTGGGGCTGGGGGCGTATGACCAACAGGAGACAGCACACACCCTATGAAGAAGACAGCCACCTCTCAGCTCCATGCCCAAGCGGTGTGGCCCTGGGCAAGTTTCCTAACCTCTCGGAGCCTCAGTTTCCTCATCTATAAAATGGGGGTAAGAAGTATGGTGCCAACCTCTGTGAGATAACATGAGTAATGTGCTCAGCCCAGGGCTAGACCGTGGAAACGGCCTTGGGTGCTGCTGCAGTTGGTGTTAGGATTTCCCAAACATTCAATGAACAGGTACCACGCTCCGCCCCATGCTGAGCGCCAGAGTACAGAGAAAACCGAGACCTGGTCCTGGCCCGAAGGGGCTCCCAGGCTGGTAGGGGGATAGTCACGGAGGCAGAAAAAGATCAAACAAGGTAACAAGGGTGGCCACAAGAGATATTCAAGGGACAAAGGAATGCAGAGGAGGAAGCTGGGGGACAAGGCAGGGAAGGGCATTCTAGGCTGATGGAACAGCCTGTGCAAAGGCTCAGAGAGGGGCATCATCCCTGCAGGTGGGAGCCACGGTTAAAGGGCGGCTCAAGGGCACTGCAGGGGGACTGCTGGGTGGGGTGGGAAGTTTATTCTTAAAAGTCTCTAAAACCCATCCTGGTCCAAGACACCATTATTTCTGGCCCTGGTGGCTTCCTCGCTGGTCTCTCTGCTGCCACCTGTAGGTCTCTCCCCACACATCAGCCAGAGGGATCCTGTCCTCAAAGGCTTCAAGTATCAGATAGAATAAAACCTAAACTCCTCTCTGTGGCCTGGCAGGCCCTCCACGATTGGACCTCCATTACCTCTTACCATTCTCTCCCTGCACCTGCTCGGGCTTCTTGGCCATTCTTCAGACATGCTAAACTCATTCCTGCCCCAGGCCCTTTGCACATGTCATTCCCTCTCCCTAGAATGCCCCTTCCCCAGACTTTCAAATGGCTGACACTTGCTTGTCATCCAGGCCTAGCTCAAGTGTCAGCTCCCCAAGGGCATCTTTCCTGGCCACCTAAGTAAGCTCCCTGGTCACTCGATGTCACTTCATTTCAGTTTTTCTCCATATCGTGTATCACACATCTGGTATATGTTCTTGCTTATTTATGAGATTTGTGCGGGGGTGGTGGTGGTGTTTAATGTCCCCCACTAGACTGTACGCTTGATGAGGACAATGACTCATCAATCCTGTTCTAGACAACATCCCAGCTTCTGGAATTGTACCTGGCACCTTGTAGATGCTCAATAAATAATGCAAAAGGAAGAAAGGAAGGAAGGAAGGAAGGAAGGGCTTAGAAAGCAGCTGAGAATCCATTCCAGCAAATTTTGCCCACTTCACCGCCCTGTCTACACTGGGTCCTCCCAGGATCCAGGACAATTCCTCTCTTCTCAGAGGACTGCCCCAGGAGCCCCCTGGCCCACCCTGGCCCTGACTGTTCTCCACGCACCTGGGGGAAGGTGTGTCCCAGCTTGATGATGTTGGCGAGACTGGCCTTTGCAGCCACCAGCCTGGTGCTGATGTGGACGCGATGCTCCTCCACTCCCAAGTCAAATGCACTCTCGGCCTCACCCCTGGAGTACCTTAGCTGGGTCAGGAAAAAGCAAGTGAGAGATCTCCTCATCAAGTCTCTGATGGAACATTCAGAGGTAGATGCTGGCTATAGGCTCTGCCTCCCAAAGCCCTGGGCACAACTTCCCGAACTAGATGAACTCTGATGGAATGGGTGTCCTGAGCCTCAGTTTAGGTCAACAAGTGTGGCCAGGGCAACTGCTGCAATATTGACTTGAAAATAGCTACTAGCCTGGGGCCAGTAGACAAGAATTCTAGTTGTAGGGCCATTGTAGGCAGCAGGGGGCAGTCTAGTGCAGAGGACCATGTTCAGGTGTTGGCATCAAAACAGACCAGGGCCCCAAGTTTGGCTCTACCACATATGGGGTGTGTAATCTCCAGCTATTTCCTTAACCACCAGGCCTCAGGTTTCTAATCTGAAAAATGGGGTTAATGATACCTATTTTGTTAATAGGCTATTGTGAAAATTACATGAAATAATGAGCTAATTTCCAGGCTGGCTGAATAGCAGAATCTCTTGGGGTACTGACTAAAAATATAGATTCTGAGCTCCCGCTTAAGAACTGTAAAAACAGAATGTTTGGGAAGAGGTTCAAGAACTGGTATTTTTAACAAGCTCACCAGATGCATCATTACGTTAGTGGTACCCCTATCAAAAATGTTCAACCCGAATCTCATCTTGAACAATCTGATAAATCCAAAGTAGGAGGATGTTTTGAAAAATAACTGCCTGCACACTTCAGAATTGTTAATGCAGGAATATTTTTTAAAAGGTAGTTAATGATAATGAAATGTTTAGGGAGAAGTATATCGGTATCTGCAACTTACATTTCTGAAATACATCCAAAAAAAGATGGATGAACGAATGGAGAGCTGGGTGATAAAGGAGAGTAAAACGTGAATGGGAAAATCTAGGTAGCAAGTATGCAGGTGTTTGCTGTAAAATTATTTCATTTTCTGGTTTGCAAAAAGTTTCATAATAAAATGTGGGGGGGGAATGGCAGGGGGCAGGAGGAGAATGTTCTAGATCAGGAATCGGCCTTTGAGTCAAATTCAGCTCCCAAATTGATTGTGTAAATAAAGTTTTACTGTAACACGGCCATGCCCATTCATTTACGTGTGAGTAGCTGCAATACAGAGCACATGGCCTGCAAAGCCAAAAACATTCTACCATCTGGCCCTTTACGGTAAGAGTTTGCAGCCCTCTGTTCTAGATGAAGGAAGTTAAAGAGATGTGGCAGCTAAGGGCCCTGTGTGATCCTAGATTTAAAGACAAAAAAAACAGTTTGAAAGAACATTATCATTGAAGCAACTGAGAGATTTTATTACAGATCATACATTAGATGATAGTATTATTTCAATGTTAAGTTTCCTGAATTTTGTAATTATGCTTTGTTATATATGAAAATATCCTTCTTATGGGAGATACTCACTGAAGTATTTAGGAGTGAAGAGACATGACATCTCTACAAACATCTCTGTCAACTCACAATGACACAGAAAAAAGCGTGTGTGTCTGACCGTACAAATTTGGGGCTGCTGGTTATAGCTCAGTTGGTTAGAGAGCAGCCTTGTAACACCAAGGTCAAGGGCTTGGTTTCCCATGCCGGCCAGCCACCAAAAAAACCCCCCAAAATTATATAACATATATAAGTAGAGAGAAGTGGCAAGATATTAACAATCGGTGAGTGTTCACTATATACACTAGCTTTCATAAAATTTGAAATGATTTAAAATAAAACTTGGAGGAAAACTAGTATGTTCCCTAAGTGATCACGCAGTTGTGTGAAGTTTGGAGAACACGGAAATCACATGCATATGTGGGAGAGGGCCCGGCACATGGTAGGAGCTCTGTAAACAAAGGCGGCCTGGGCAGGAAGGGGTTAAACAAAGCTCAGTGGCCGGGAGGAAAATGGAGTGACCAGTCAGCAGGTGTGTGTAACCACTCACTCACACACTATCTTTTACTGAGCACCTACTATGCGCTGGGCCCTGGACCGGGTGCTGGCCATGCCCTCCAGGAGCTCCTGATTTGGGCAAGAGGGGCAGACAGGGACATACAATGACAACACAGAGGGAGAGAGGAACCCCAGCCCAAGTCTAATGGACCCGCTGTCCCATTCCAGGACCTCCAAGTACCACACGCAAGGCAGAGGTGGAGGTGACACTGGCGTAGCTCAAAGAGCTGTGTCATGTGGTCCTGCTGCTGGGGGAATGCTGGGCTGGCTAAGGCAGAGCCAGGCGCCAGGCAAAGAGTCCTCCCCCGGCTCCTGAGGGTCTCATGAGCCCAGCTGGGGGCCACAGGGGCTGACCCAGAAATGCAAACCTGAGGATGTTTGGGAAAGCTGGAGCCAGGGGTTTCTGAGGGTGGCCCACTGGGGCCTGCTGCAGGCCTGAGGACAGATGGGCATGTGTTAACACAGCCCGGCAGGGCCTGGGCCTGCGTAGCCCCTCCCACCTGGGACAGCGTATTTGGAACCAGTTAGGAGCTCGGGGTGGCCCGGGCATGGTTACCTTGGCAGAGGTGGAGGCTGTGCTGGGGCAGTAGCCCAGGAGGAAGGGGAGGCGATGCCGGCCTGAGAGCAGCAGTTCTTTGCTGGAAGGAAGGAAGGAGAGGGCCTGATGTTCACACCAGGTACCTTGTCCAGATCTCCTGGGGCTGGGTCAGGATCGACCAACCTCCCCAGGAGAGGGTCAGAGAGCCGTGGCCTAGGGGCCACACGGTGTAATGGTTAGGGCTGACTCTCGAGCCAGGTGACCCGTGTTTGAATCCCAGCCTGGCCTCTGTCTACCTCTGCCACCATGGGCAAGTTCCTTGGTCACCCCCTGTGTATCTCAGTTTCCCCACTGGTATAAAGGGGCTCTGGTCTGAGCTACCATGAGCTACCAACAGGCCTCCTTGGGTTTGTCCAGCGGGAGCTCCAGCAGAGTCTGGACAGTGGGATTTTAACCTCCTGGCTCCCTCCTGAGAATTCTCTGCAAAAAGCACCCCTCCTCCCACTCCTTCAGGCCAGGGTGGTGACAGCTCCCCACTATGGCTAACCCCTGGGTGCTGCACCAGCCTGCCCAGTTCCTCTCTACTGGAGCTTCTCAACCTCGGCATTACTGACATCTTGGGTCAGATACCTCTTGCTGCAGGAGCCAACCTGTGCATTATAGGGCTTTTAACAGCATCCCTGGCCTCCACCCACTAGAGGAGCAGTAGCTTCCTCCTCCCCAGCTGTAACAAGCAGAGGCTTCCCCAGACATTGTCAAATGCCCCTGGGGTTAAAACCCGCCCCCACGTGAAACACTGGTTATGCCTTTAACAAATGGCTTACTCCCCTCTCTCAATGACAAGGTCTGGGTGCTGGAGCCTGGCTGGTGGCTCACCTGACACAGTATGTAAGAGCACCAAGTACTGGGCCAGACACCCAGAAGTCCTCCAGACTCCAGAGCTGCAATAGTTATTTGCAAGTATTTAGGGCCTGAATTCATCTATGCCCTGCTCTCAAAGGTCAAGGGTTTCTATAGCTGTGTGACCTTGGAAAAGTTGCTTTGTCTCTCTGAGCCTTCCTTCCCCATCTGTGCCGTGGGGCTGTGAGGAGGGCTGGAGGTGGTGTTGTGTGCTGGGCATGGGTACGTGGCAAGTGCCCAGCCAGCGGCTACCCACCCCCAATCTCCTCTCCTCCTGGGCTGCCCCCAGAGCTGCAGAGAGCCCCTCACCTGACAGCCCGGTTCTGGCCATGGACATGGAGGACCAAGCTGGTTTGAGAATCACAGGTCAGCTGCAGCAAAGCGCTCATCTCTTCCACTGCCCAGAGTTCTTGGAACATGAGCTGAGGAGGGAGGAGGAGGAGAGCAGGCTGCAAGGTGTGGGGGTAGAGGGAGCTCGAGGAGTCTCACGGGCCTGAGGGGACACTGATCACACCCTACAGCCCCAGCACACCACCACCCCCAGCACACCACCACCCCCAGCACAGCACTGCGTGGCAGCCACAGGTTGCAGCAGGCCTGACCTCGTCCAACAGCCTCTCAGATGGTGAGAGCCCTCGGCAGGGCCCGGTCAGCCCTTGCTGTAGCCCTTGCTGTAGCCCAGGTTGGCAGTGTCCACTGTGGGCCCCCACATGCACCTGCAGCCCAGCTATCGGCAAGGGATGAGCTCCATGAGATCTCCCCACTCCCCAGCCTTGAGGCCAGGAAAGGCCATGAAGTTGGAGGATAAGGGGCATCCAGTCTGCTCAGTTGTAGGGCTGCAGATTTTTTGCATGAAAGGTGATGTCCTGGCCCCCCAGAACCCCTAGAAACTGTCCCCTCCTCCCACAGTAGAGTGGAGTGGGGGTCAGGGGATTGCTGCGTCACCCAAAACAGGAAGTTGTGAAAGGCTTTGCTGCCAGGCTCCAGAATGTGCTTGGTGACTTATGGAGAGAGGAGGCTCAGCCGGGCAAGGTGAGTTTACGCCAAGTGACAGTGGCCAGGGCATGGCCCCATGCAGCAGGAACCACAGCAGATTCCCCATCTAAGAGGCAGTAGTGCACCCCGGGGAAGGGCCTAGGGGCCATGACCAAGTCCCTGTTTTGCTGCCTACTTGCTGTGCGACCTTGGGAAAGCCACCCAAACTCTCCTGTGTGACCCAGTGATGGTGATGGTGATGACTCATGGAAATTGTCACCATCACCACCTTCATCATCATCATTGCAACAAACGCTTCTGAAGCCTATACTATGTTCAGGCATTCCTGATATTAATTCATCGCTCCTTACACCTCCATGTTACAGGTAACATCATCACCCCCAACTTGCAGAGGGGGAAATCGAAGACACAGAGAGGCCGAGGGATGTGCCCGAGGCCACTTAGCTCACAAGTGGCAGAGCTGGCATCTGAACTCCGGAGATGGCATTCATCAGGACTGTGTGATCCCACCTCTCACTGGGGTGTTAGGAGGATAGAGTGATAAACACACATCAAACCCTAGAACAGCGCCGAGCAGGGGCAGGTGCTGTGCCAGTGGAAGCTGGGCTCAGATTCCGATTAAAGACTGGAAGAGCGGGAAGGACACAGGCCAGTAGCCAAAACCTGGGGTGCCAGGACGCCACACCAGCCTCATGGCCAGAAATACAGAGGTTGTTCGGGAGACGGTGGTTACAAATGTCATGATTAATAAAACCTTTGCAAACTGTAAAGTTTGCAGAAAATCAGATTCCGATTAAAGACTGGAAGAGCGGGAAGGACACAGGCCAGTAGCCAAAACCTGGGGCGCCAGGACGCCACACCAGCCTCATGGCCAGAAATACAGAGGTTGTTCGGGAGACGGTGGTTACAACTGTCATGATTAATAAAACCTTTGCAAACTGTAAAGTTTGCAGAAAAACAAGGCACGATCATCCCCGTCAATCCTGCACACAGTGGGTCCTCTGCATATCAGGAGTTGGATGGGAGGTGACAGAATTTGGAAGGTGGCCCTGCCCTTGCCCCACTTCTTACCTGGCTGGTGAAGGGCAGGCCCAGCCTCCAGAGAGCGGGCACTGTGTGGCTGGCGTTCACCACCAGCTCCAGCGTGCCATTCAGTGGCCGAGCCACCAAGGCTGCCACATCCATGGTGACCCCACTGTCCTCACCATGGAGGACCACACTGGCCTGGGTCTGGGTCTCTAGAGACAAAGAATGGCACAGGACTCAGGTTAACCTCCCTTCCCAGCTCAGGGACGCACCACAGACTACAGGAGGGGCCACGCCCTGTGGCCTGGGATACCAGCAGAAAAGGCTGCCACATGAGGCTGGGTGGGGCCATTGGATCAACCCTGGGCAAGCCTTTGACCTCTCTGAGCCTCCATGACATCATCTGTCATAACTCATCCCCCAGATCTTGGCCTTGTCAGCTCTTTCTCTCATTGGGGTGAAATGACACCTCCTCCAAGCAGCCTCCCCTGACTGCCTATCTGAAGTACCTCCCAACCCTTTGCTTCCAGGCCTTCTCCATCTCATCACCCCACTCCTGCAACACAGCAGGTGTTCAGTAAGTACTTGTTGAATGAATGAGCAAATAAGGCTTGCAGGGGGAGCCTTTGAGCAGCCCACAAAAGCCTCCCACAGAGAAGTGAGCACGTGGTCCACTCCCAATAAAAGACGGGACGGGACGCTGTCTGTCATCTCCGATGTCAGCCTGGAGAGTCCCTGCCCCAAACCACCCCACACAGGCATCTCTTCTAGTCCCCTGCCTCTGAGCTGGACCTCATCTTGCCACGGCCTGCAGATAAAAGCCCTCCAGAAAAGGTGGTTCCAGGGTCTGCAACTGCACAGTCAGGAGTTTATTCTTATTATTCTTTGGCTCACACTCCTCCTGCCACAGCTAGAAACCAGTTGGGTCCTGGAGGCCCAGGGTAAGTAAACAGATGAAGCCTACTCGGTGTCCGAGGCCAGGTTCCCGTGGGGTACAGCTCACTGCTCAGGCCTGAATGACACGTAGCCTGGCCCTATCACCTGCCAGCTGGGCCCAGCAGGGTGGGCTGTGCTCCTTGTCAGACATGGCCAAGCCCAGCAGCTCCGAGCCTCAGTTTCTTCATCTATAAAATGGGCACAGCCCACCCACCTTGAGGGTCAGCACCCAGATTAAATGACATAACATATCTGAGAGAATCTGCCTGTGGGGCATACAGTAGGTCTCAGGAAATGTTTCCTTCCTTCATTATTCAGCACCCGACCACGTGCACCTACTACGTGCAGGATGGGAGGGAGGAAGGGAGGGAACACGTGGTTGAAGGGGACACAGTCCCCATGTCTAGGAGCTTCTTGCTGTCAGGGACACCAAGAATGCTAACAGAGGCAGAGAGTGTCCCCTGAGGGGTTGGGACAGCTAAATGTGGACAGCAGCTGGGGAAGGGGGAGGTCACACCAGACCTCCTAGGGGCCGGGAACTAGAGCAGTGTGGAGGTGTTCATCCAGGATGAATTTCCCACCACTTAGTCACTGAGTCCCTAACACACCCCGAGGTCCCCTGTGTGATCTAGGCTGTGATCTAGACCCCTTTCGCCCCACAGGAGGCCGAGGGCCAAAAACAGAAAAGTTTGAGGCCAGAGAAAGGCAACCAAGGAGCTGGGGAAGTCACGCAGGGCTCCTGATTAGTCAAGAGCCAGGTCTCTGCAATCTACACAGGGGTCAGAGGGTGACTCTGCAGTCAGAAGTCTGGCTACGTCACTCACCAGCTGTGTGGCCTGGGCCAAGCGACTCAACTTCTCTGAGCTGCCACACCTCACATGCAGAACGGGGACGGTGTTACTAACCCCTGCCTCGCAGGCTCGATCATGCACTCACGCAACAGTTAAGTGAACACCTACTCTGTGCCACTCAGCAAGAGACACAAAAATCCTCCCTGACTTCCGGGAGCATATGTTCTAGTGTAGGGTGGACAGAAGACAGCCAATGAGAAATAAGGAAATTTAATAAGTAAGTTCCACAGCATGTCAGAATGTGGGGAGAGAGACAGAGGGAGGTGGGGGTATAATAGACAAAGTGGGCAGGAAAGGCCTCAGATGACATTTAAAAAATACCTATAGGAGAGGGGCAGTGAACCAAGCAGGTAGGAGCGGGAACAGGTAGGAACGGGAACAGGTAGGAACGGGAAGAGCATGCCGGCAGATGGAACAGCCTGTGCAAAGGCCCTGAGGCGGGAGCAAGCCTGATGTGAAGAACATCAAGGAGGGGAATGAGGGGGAGCAGGGGCCGTGAGATGAGGTCAAAGAGGTGAAGGTCACGAGGGCTCGGAAACCCATCTAAGGGTGTGGACTTTTCCTCTGTGTGAATGGGATGGACGTACAGATTTATTGAGGTCTTGTGTGCAGAGAGACTGCCTGGCATGTACACAGTAAGCACTCAATCAATGCCGGCTCTTATTACTGTTATCTTCCTTCCCTGCCATCTGTCACAAGTTTTATTGTGTCCCCCCAAAGAGATATTGAAACCTAACTCCCTGTACCTGTGAAAGTGACCTTATTTGGAAAGAGGGTCTTTGCACATGTAATTAAGTAAAAATAAGGTCACACTGGAGTCGGGTGGGCCCTCAATCCACTGCGACTGGTGTCCTTATAAGAGGAGAACAGGCACAGGGGGAAGAGGGTCACATGAAAATGGAGGCAGGGGTTGGAGGGGACAAGTTTTATTGTGTCCCCCCAAAGAGATATTGAAACCTAACTCCCTGTACCTGTGAAAGTGACCTCTCAATCCACTGCGACTGGTGTCCTTATAAGAGGAGAACAGGCACAGGGGTAAGAGGGTCACATGAAAATGGAGGCAGGGGTTGGAGGGGACAAAAAGGATTCGTCCCTAGGGCCTCTAAGGGAGCCCGGCCTGACCGGCACCTTGATTTCAGACTTGTGGCCTCCAGAACTGCGAGAGAATAAGTCTCTGTTGTTTTAAGTTACCTAGTTTGTGGTACTTTGTCGTGCAACCCCTACGAAACCAGTGCAGCCCCCTCAGAAGTCAGGCCCCTGAGAGCAAGGCTGCCCTGGTTAGTCCTGGGGCCCCGAGCCTCCTAGGGCCTGATGGAGGTCCTGGGGCCCACCTAGATCAAGGTCTGAGGCTGACAGGCAGGGTCCCTTACCACGGATCTGCAGCGCCGCTCTGAGCCGGGCCTCGCCTGGGACCCCGGCCCACAGCAGGGCCTGGATGCTGTGCGCGCCCCGCCAAGACAGCTCCAGGTGCCCGTCACGGTGCCAGCAGCGCACAGAGCAGTTGAGAGATGTGGGCCCTGTTGAGACGCTTCCAGAATGCCCAAAGCTGGAGACGTTGTCGTGGATGTCCACGGAGACCTGGAAGGACATCGAGGAGGAGACACTGGGCCACACTGCAGGGAGAGCCAGCCCCAGCCAAGTGGCATCAGCTCCACAAAACCATCCATGTCGTGTGGCGGGAGGAACTCAGGCCCCCTTGAAGGGGCAGGTTTGAGGACCAGCGGGGTTGCTCTGGCTAATCACGCGTGTGCCGAGAAAGTGGGTAGAAGGGAGAGAGGGGACCTTGGGAAGGACAGCTGGAGAAAGAGACGCTGGGAAGACGAAGATGAAGATGACCCAGACGGTGTGAAGCAGAGATGGGCAAACTACGGCCTGCGGGCCAACTCGTGCCTGCCGCCTGTTCTCATAAATAAAGTTTTATTGGAATACAGCCCTGCTCGTTCATTTACTACTGTTTATGGCTGCTTTCATGCCACAGACCATAGGGCCACAAAGCCTAAAATATTTCCTCTCCAGCCCTTCACAAAGCTTGCCAAAATCTGGTGTGAGATGTCACTTCTTCCTGTGCCGCTCCCCAACCATCCCAGTAAAATCTCCATCCCCCTCCCCACCGTTGTTGAAGGAGCCGCCCAGCAACGAGATGGGGAGAGGCCACTCCAAATGGGGGTGTGGACCAGTGACATCAGTGTTACCTGGGCACTGGTTAGAAGTGCAGAGTCTCCAGCCCCACCCCAGACCTACCGGGTCAGAATCTGCATTTTTCTACATCCCCGGTGGACACTTCTGTACATAGGCATGGGAGAAGCCCTGCTCTAGGCAGAGGAATGCCCAGGCTGCAGGCACCCCTGAAAGTCCAGTGTTGCTGGGCTCTGACCATGCACCAGCCTCTGGGGTGGCAGCGTGGGGTCCAAGGCTGGGCTTGCCCCGAGAGCTTCAGGGGCTCTGTGCTGCTGGCCAGCTCTACCAGATTGTCCCTGCTCAGGTCTGCCTGTCAGCCCTCTGCTGACACCTCCTGCTGACCTTGATGGCACCAGGGCCATAGCCCCGGCACTTAGGCTTGGGCAGATCCACAGAGACCCAGCAGGAGAGCAGAGAGGTCAGGGCCGAGGCTGAGGGGTCTCTTCCAACACCATCCGCCAAGTGCTTACTGAGCACCCCTGCATCCCAGGATGGCAGGGGCAGAGCTGGGGAAGCTAAGGCCTGAGCCCTCATGCTGGAGGGGCACACTCCCTGGATGTCCCCCTGGAACTGAGAGCTCCTGGGGTCCAGCAGGGGTCTGGATTAGGGGTTGCAAACTGGTGGCCCTGGAGCTGAGTTCTGTCCCTCTACTCTGGTGTTTAAAACAAACATAGTATGGGTTCAAGTAAACACTCACACACGTACGTTCACAGCAGCATTACCCATAGTAGCCAAGAGGTAGAAACAACCCAAATGTCCATCAACTAATGCATAGATGAACAAAACGAGGTCTATCCCCACAATGGAATGTCATTCAGCCATAAAAAGGAATGAGGGACTGATCCTACCACACAGATGAACCTAAAAAGTATTATGCAAACTGGAAGGAGCCAGACATAAAACACCATGTATGACTCCACTTACGCAAACCAACCGAATAGGCAAATCCAGAGAGACAGCAGCAGACCGGGGGCGCCAGGGGAGGGGGAGGGGAAATAAGGATTGACGGCCAACGAGTACGGGCTTCCACATGGGGTAACGAGAAAGTTCTGTAACCGGACAGCACCGATCATCGTATGACAGTGTGAACGTGCTTAATGTCCCTGAACTGGGTGCTTTAAACTAGTCAATTTCATATTATTTGCATTTTACCACAATAAAAAATGTGAAAAATACATACAACATGGAGGATTTCAGACATGGCACGTGCTCTCTGGTTCCCCACGCAGCCCAGTGACGCTTTCCATTGTCCACCTGGCCCCCAGAGGCTTTGGTTTGCAGCCCTCTGCCACACGCGGCAGCCATCACTGCCTGAGCTCATGGCGGCAGGTGGCAGCAGTCATCTGGGCCCCTTGCTACTTTACATCACCAGCTTCATGAAGCAGCAACTGTTACTCTGTCATTCAACGATGTTGGCTGAGCACCTACTACGCGCCAGGCCCGGTTCGCCATGCATGAAACAGAAAAGCCTGGTCCCGTGAAGCTTGAATGCCAGTGGTGGGGACACAACAGGAACCAATGAAGACATCACCGTCAGGTGACAGGAAGATGGTGGGAGAGAGAATGCTGGGAAGAGGATCGGGAGGGTCAGGGGTGAGATGCTGGCCAGGGAAGCCTCACTGAGAAGACACGTGCAGAGACCTGAAAGAGGCGAGGAGCAGGCATAGCAGAGAAGGGGGGGTCCGGCCCCAGGCAGGGGTGCACCGGGCAAGTCTGGGGAACAGGAGTCATGGCAGGCTTCTCTGGAAGGCATTGCAGCAGCATTTGCTGAAGGCGGGAGACAGGGCAGGAGAGAGACAGGAGTTGCAGAGGATTCGGAGGGTTCTGACCACACAACTGGCAAGACAAAGGTGCTGTTGGCTGCAGCAGGGACATGGGGGAGGTGCAGGTTGCGGAGCAGTAACGCATTTGAATCTGGATAAGCCAATTCCTAGGCACTCACTGGGCCTCCAAGTGGACATCCCGCAGGCGGGTGGATCTAGATTCTGGGGTTCGGGGTGAGGTCCTGCTACAGGGAGAAGCTGTACGAGCTGTCAGTGCAGTGTCGAAACTGGAGACTGGACGAGGCCGCCAGGTGAGGGTGCGCGGGTGAAGAAACACAGAGAGCAGGGATGGGACAGGCCTGGCCAGCCACAGGGAGGGAGGAAGGTGGCAGCTCCAGAGGAAGGACAGTGTGTGGTGGCCCGAGGGGAAGAGTGGAGTGGCTGGGCCAGGGTGTTACCGCCCCCAGCTTCCAGACAAGGACTGAGGCTCAGAGAAAAGTCTGAACCATGTTTTACCACCCTCCTGCCTCCACAGTGCTTCCAAAATTGTGGAATGAACGAGTGAGTGAATGAGTGAGCGAGCGAGCGAGTGAGTGAGTGAGCGAGTGACTGAGTGACTGACTGAGTGATTCCATAGTGATTCCACCATCGCCTGCGCTTGCTGAGGCTGACCTGCAGGCCTATCCTGCCCTCAGCCCACAGTGTGTGCAGCGTGGGGACGTTGTGCTGGACTGTGTGGTTGAGAAACGTGCTCTGGCTGAGTGAAGGTCAGCTCCTTGGACACCTGTTGGGGGGTGTATGATTGTAGGTCCCGGTCCATCAGGCTGGGCCATCCCACAGCTCCCCACACCCCTGGGGCCCCTGCCGGCAGATCCAGTGCAGACCATGGCTGACCTCCAGACTCCCAGAGCCACCCACCAACCCCTCCACCAGGGTTGTCTAACTCTCTTGTCAAATTTAACACTTCCAAAATGTACTCCTGACTCAGGAACACCCCCCCCCCCCCCCCCCCCCCCCCCCCCCCCCCCCCCCCCCCCCCC